TTGTTTTATGAGATTAATAGCTTGTTTGTGGAGAATTTCCAAAATTGTGTATTTTTTTTTAAAATCGTAAATATAAAGTTTGGTCTTTTCTCAATGAGCAGCGTAAACTTTTTAAAATGCAAGTAGTTTAATAAAAAATATGAAAAACATAATATTTGGCATATAGACAGGATGTAAAGCACTGAAAACCCCTTGATCCACCATTAGTTATGAAGACATACATTGTTTTTTTATTTACAGGATAATCTATAATGATGCATAGACCAAAGAGACTAAAACCATTAGACGTAGCCAAGGATTACATCAAGGCTGGAAAAGACAGAGAGTCATATTTCTGTGTCAAACACACTAGAACAAAAGGTAAAAAAATACTTGCAATGGTTGTTTTGTTTATCTTTTGGCTATATTTATTTTGTACTTTATGCATCATATAATTGCATTAAAATAAGACAATGACAAACTTATTGTAATTTTCATCAGAATCAATTTAAAATTAAAAAAAAATTGAAGCCCCAGAAAGTTTGCATGTTCTGAGCATTTTCACTTTTAATTTGATTGATCCTTGATACATTTAAAAGAAAAACAAGAAATTAAATAATGCATCTTAACGTCTATTGTGTTCCTATTCATATTTTGTAGGCCTACATCTCCACCTAAAACATTTTTTAAAAAGGGAGGAATACATTTAATGATCATAGTAGTAGCATCATGCACAGACTATGAAGACTGCATGTGTTTGCAAAAACACTTTTGCTGTGATTTTGTTGTTTCTCCATGTTGTGTGTGCCAGTGCACTACCATGTCTAGACGGTCCAGGCACACTAAAGCGCAGGATTGGTCCTAGCATTAAATAGCGTTTAGAAGCATGGTAGTAGCTGGTCATTAGCTACAGCTTGTAATAGCTTATAAAAGCAGTAATATAGCACCCATTTCACAAAGTATAGCAATATACACTAGCTACAGCTTGTAATAGCTTATAATAGCAGTAATATAGCACCCATTTCACAAAATATCTAGCATTTGAAAGCATGGTAGTAGCTGATATAGCAATATCTTCTAGATAGCTTATAATGGCAGTAATATAGCACCCATTCTGATATAGCAATATCTTCATGGCAGTAATATAGCACCCATTTAACAACATATAGCAATATCTTCTAGCATTTGAAAGCATGGTAGTAGCTGTAATGGTGTACGGTAAGAATGGCCCCGGAAAAAAATGGCCCCAGAAAAAATGGCCCCGGAAAAAAAGGCCCCGGAAAAAATGGCCCTGGTAAAAATGGCCCCATATGACAGGTAGGTAAAAATGGCCCCAATAATAAAATTCTGTATTAAAACTGATTTTCTTGATTCAATATATGATTTTTATAAATTATAATTTAGTTTTTAAAAGGAATCTAACATCAAACAAATTGCCATTTACATTTTACTTTTTGGAAGAATTAACATTCAATGATAAAATATTCAAAGATAAATAAAAAGCCATGAATTACACTTTTTATTTTTTTTTCCATTTAAATGTTAAAAAACAGCAACAACATAATCAATAAATCAACATAAATCATGCATTTATTAATACTGTACTAAAATAATTTACTTGTGGCCGATTTCACGGAAGCGAAATCACAATTTTCCAAAAATTAGTATGAACATCAAATTATTATTTTTTTTTTTTTTAAGAAAAAGAGAGTTCTACAATCATAATATATGGTTTAGATGGGGTTTGCAGACCTTGATTTAAAAGGAGCGCGATTGCGCCGGCGCTCCTTCGCGCTCCTGAAAACGATCTAAGGAGAGCAAAAAGTAGCGCTCCTTGTTTTTACCAGAGAACGACTAAAAACGACCGGTTTAACGGCGACTTCTCTCGCAAGGGAGAGAAAATCAGCTCTCATAACAGAGAGCTAGCTACGCAGCACTGCATAGCTAGTCAACCGTAAAACATGAACTCTACGTGAACTCTGCTTTCGCTCTCTCTGATCCCAGCAGATAACAAACTTATCAATGTGCAGATTAACTTGCCTGTGTCCTTTTACGAACCCGTGCACTACAGTGCTGTATGATGAACACAACTTATTATTATTAGCACCTACCGATCCCAGCCAGTTACAGTATTGTACATGGTGTTGCCAGAAAGGACACGAATTGGATTCTTGATTAAATATGAATATTAATATTTTAAATTAACGATATTTTCTGTAAACTAGAAGTTATATTAATACTTTTAATTTTAAAATCATTTTAATTGTTGTCTGTCTATATTTTGTATGTTTTTTTTGTATTGAAATAATAAAGCGAATCGTCCTTGTTTTTGTTATTGATGCGATGGAGAAAACATATTCATTCTGTGTATACCTAGCCATCCAGGGTTCTCTGTGCTCAGGGTCTGTAATATAATACCCACAACAGCACACTTGTCTTGGGCTTCACACTATCACTGGACATCTCACTGACA